CAAATATTGGTTTGTTGTAATAGGAGAGAAACCGGAGGCAATGATGTCATCTTTTTCAGCAATGTTTATCTGTTTCCTCTGTTTATAACAAATGGCGGCGCGGCCAGACTGTGCGGGAAAATCCCAACTCATCAATAATCCACGATCATACTCTGTGCGATTATTTTCAGCGATGCGGCAACTATTTACAAGGTTGATCCAAATCCAAAGAAGCTTGTCAGGCTCTTATCTAAAAGCTTCTCTTTCTCGCATCAGACCGCAGACGTTTTATGTCCGTGCTTCAAGCGCAATACATAAAACTATACAAGAGACCTATTTAATTGTTGCTTTAGGGTTAGACAATCTGAGTCATAACACTTGATAGTTCTCAATCGAGTTTTTTCTTCTCTTTTTACACCTAGAGACTCCACCTCCCGATGATTAAAATGAAGAGATAAACGCAAAGAACGCTGATCCAACAGGAAGTTGAAAATCTGTAATTTTCCCGATAAAAAAGTTAATACCTTCTTGATTACTCATCTGATTTATAATTAAAATTAGATGATGACTGTGCAATATCAATGATTTCAACTTACAGACCATCCAAACAGTTTACAGATTGGTGCTTCATGAGTTTTTAACAGGGGATTTTTTTAATAACACGGTTAGTATATTGATTTATGAGCAAAGTAGGCTATCATTTAATAGTATCTCAGAATCGCGGTCTTAGAAATCGTTAAAATTTCAAATCAAAGAACAGAGACTGTTCTTTCGCGTCATTGAATGGAGCTGCTTGAAATCTTAAAGCCGGCTTCAATCTTCAATTGGATGTATTTCTGCCGAACGGCACTATGTGCATTAAGACATGAGCCCTGAGACCCATGAGAATATATGCATAACAGGGTTCACATCATAATGCAAATAGTTCCGTTTGGCAGAAATACGTCCAGCTGTTCAGAGGCAAACGAACTATCTTGACTCTTCACCGGAAAAACTGTAGTTCTTGCGATTATCATGCTTTTATATTCTTTGATTTTTAGTTATAAAAAAATCACAACGTTTCAATCGAAATATCTGTAAATTAATTGAAAAGTTGTTGTTTGCAAACATTTACCGTCTTCAAAATCCGTCGATACATTTTTAACCTATGGCCCTTTGAAACTTCCGTTCATTGACGAGTAGCAGAGAGATTGTACACCGAAATATTGCTACCAATTGATTATTTTTTTATGTGATACTGGCAAGGTCACGCTGAAAATTATCCGAGTCTCCAGCCGTGACCTATTGCACCTCGCGATAGCTTCAATGCCGGGAAACTAGGTTTCTCGTGTTTCCAGCGTGATCTCCTTATCCAGAGGGTATTTAAAAATCAATGAGTAAATGGACGATCAAAAATCAAACATTCTCGCTGAAATATAATGCAGTGTCTCGCATATTCACGATGGGTATAAAATCAATTGGACTGCATTTTGCAATTTGGGCCTATAAATTCTGGTTCATCTGAAAAAACACTTATGTGCATAGGGAAACTAATGGCACATACGTTGTATTTAAACCGGGCCGGAATTTATAGTTCCTAATAGCAAAATGTAGACCAATTGATCCTATTATGCTTGTATGATCATAAATGTTAAGCAGGGGAAACTCTCTTGGGAGAAGTAAAAAAGCATGATACCATTATTTCGACCCCTCCGTGGTTTAAATTGCATAACCATCAAAAAGAAGGAGCTTTTGATCCCGCAATCAAAATTGCAACAGTTGCGTATGGACTATCATTGTGACATTTAGGTAGCTCATTTCGCCTTTAGTCTATAAGAACGACCCTTTTCAACCAATAGGATCGCTCAATACTCCCTGGGTCTTCTTTATCTATTGCTTAGCCGATCAATTTCAACTATGAGCCCGCATGCCTAGGGGAGTTCTGACAAATCCGTGGCGACGCGGCAACGTGCGGGAACTTTCTAGCCGGGAAGAAAGAGGCGAAGCTGCGTGTGTGAATAGTTGCGTGAAACAGTCGCCAAGCTCAATCGTCCGATGCGGATGGTCCTCGTCGAGGTTTCACTTGTGCAGTTGTGCATCGGGTCACCGCACCGCATCGCACTGCTCACCGGACAGGGACAGGTGCCTCTCTCGAGCTTCGATTCCGCGCCTCTTGCGTCGGCGGCGTCATCGTCATCGTCATCGTCATCATCGTCATCGCGACAGGGGACCGCGGGCGGCAACGGACCAGGCCTGCCTCGGCCAAAGCGACGCCTTTCCCGCAATGGGCAATGGGAGCACCTAACTCGCGAAAACTCCCGCCCCAAACCCCTCATCCACGCCTCGTTTTGCCCTTTGCAACACTGTCGTGCTAAGGAAGAACGCCGTACAAGCCATCAGGCGTTGCCAAATTTCCTTCTACAAATCACGAATTTTCAGGAAAATCTGTGGTTATTTCTCATCCAATTTGTCATAGAATTTCGTCCGTGGTTCGATGTAAAAGATCTGAAAATTTCACGGGAAAATATTCCGAACTTTCCTCAAAAATAGATATTTTATCGGAGGAAATTTGGCAACTTTCGAAAGTTCATACGGCGTTCTTCCATGGCACGGCAGAGTACTTCCATTGCGTGGGGATTTGCAGAATACCGGGCATCAGGGAGTACAGCGATACTGCTCACGGTATTAAAATTTTACGAAATATTTCATGATTGAATGTATTCCCCGTACCAAGTGGAGAATATTTATTTCACATAATTATGATATTACATATCAATAATTATTTATAATAAGCAAGAATGCTTATTATCCGTTAGAATTACTTTTAAAACTCATTTATATTTAATAATAAGTCAATAGATACTAGGAATCATAGTAGTAGTAGTGACATATTTGTATTGTTAATATAACAATAAATTAATAAAAAAAATAAAAAAAAAAAAAAAAAAAGTGGAGAAATGGTCAAGACTCACGCGGAACGGTCCACATACCGTATCATACACGTGTCTGAATCTCCATGTGAGCCATGCAATACACTTGATTACATGTTCTCTGGGGTCCATGCGGAAATCGAGATACGCCCTTACGTTAAAGGAGCGACAGAATACAGGGCAATATTGTTAAACATAGAGCATACGACATGAAAAGACCCGTCAAAGTAAGAAGAAAATACGCCGTGTGGGCCAGGAAAGGATTTGGGAAGTTTTCCAGTAAACACTCAACGAAATGAAAGGCGTAATTCTTGAAATACGATAACGACATGAGATAGAGACTAAAATTTGTGGTGAGGAAGATTTATGATGGCGCGGCGTCTTCTTCGAGCTTTGATAAATAGCGTCGATCGTACGAGACAAGTCCGCGGATTGATTCCCTCACTCCACAAAAATAGTCGGAAAAACTCGAGGTCATTCGTCTTCAAGTCTGAACCCTGGTAAAAACTGGCAGTAAGAGCTGCGTTTCAAAATACCTTAGGAATTCTTATAGCCGACTGTAGTAGGCGATGGAAAATCATATAGCTGGCTGTAGAAAGCGAAGAAAATCATGCAGCCAGGCTAGATGAAACGATACAAAATCATACAGCCGGGCTATAGTTCCTATCGCCAGACTATACAGTTTATCGCCAGGCTATACAGTTAATCGCCAGGCTGTAGCTTCATCACTATCGGCTATGAAGGGCTGTAAGAAATTGTATAGCCGGCTATGGAAGCTATAGGAAATCTTACAGCCGACTACAGGTCTATAGTATTTTGGAGCACAGACCCCACCGCCAATTTTTACCTGGGAAGGAGCTCTATTTCGTTGTCTTCGTAAAAGTTCACACAATAGAAATTATGGTCGTCAACTTTCTGACCATATATTAAAAACAATTTCAATGATATGTAGATAAATAGCGACAGTCAAAAGTACTGCCGTGCTAAGAAAAAACGAGCACGGCAGAGTAAGCGAGGACTTTTCGCAAGCGTAACCATTCATAGGTTACCATACTTTTTCTTCAGTGTCCCTGGCTGATCGAGAGCCGCTCGGCTGATACAGTGTGCGACGATGAAGGGAAAAATTGTTAGACGTTTCAAGGATTGACGCACGATCGAGTATCGAGAATCTGCACACAATACTATGCGTGCGCCATGCGACCTTTAGCCACATTAAAGGTCTTCTCTTTGCAATTTTTCTTCCCCCTTATTTTCATTTTTTCACGACCAACCATGCGTTCTCGCCGGATAGCGGGCAACAATCGCTTTAATTCGAGAGTGTCATGTCTACCAGACAGGGTTGCCACAGAATTTGGAAAAGTAAGTTCCCTGATTTACCAGACACTGCATTTTGGCGAAAATCCCTGACAATTGACAAAAATGCTCACGATGTCTACTAAAACAGGTTAGCCAAAAATCAGTACTTTTACAGTACTTTTTCAGTACGTTCCCAGGAAATTCAGTACCTCCTCAATAGAAAAATTCAGTACTTTTTCAGTACCTCGAATTGACGAAATTCGAAAAATTTCAAAAATTTAAGTTTCTCGCTCAAGTTGCGACAGAAACGACAGTAAAATGAAAAAAATTCCGGACCTTCTGAAGGAATTACCGCACTTCTTCAGTAATTCCGGACCGCCTTTAAAAAATCAGTGCTATTTCCGGACTTGTAGACACCCTGAAGCCGTATTGTTAAAAAGACATAGTTAGAAATAGTTTTCAGGCTAGTTTAATTTTGTTGTCTGGAACGACCAACCCACTCGAGAAAGCAAATCAAGGTGATGATGCGAATTTTCCCTGACATTAGCGTCATTTTTCAGGCATTTCCATGTTTTACCTGACTTTTTAAAATTCCCTGGCATTTCCCGGTATTTTCTGACTGCGGCAACCCTGTCTTGACTGATCTAACTCAACCGCGAAAAGGCGATCTTGTGACATGCACAACTCCCTTTAGAGGATTTCAGGCATCTTTCAATGCCTTCTAATCCACAAACCGTGAAAATGGTAGGTCGGAATTTTCAGAGGAAACCTCAACTCTCCTCGGCAAGGAAGGAAATGGGATGAAAAGTAACTTACCCTCTTGTAAAGTTTAATCCAGGTGAGGTCTCCTTTGCTGTCGGTGTACTGGAGTCCGAAAAACCACACTTCTCGGAGACCGATGGTTTTGACAACCTGGTCGAAGAGCTGTTTCCCGGTCGTCGTGTGCTGGATCGCGAACTCCAGCTCCGCGTCCATCGTTGTTACCCGCACGTTCATCTGAAACAAACCATCGTCATTTGTTAGGACATTTCGTGTATCAATTTGGGCACGGGCGAAAACAGATGAAAAGGCATTGGAATGCTACAGGAAAGAGGTGTCGGGAAGTGAAACAAGGGTTGCCCCAAAATTTAGACAATGAAATTCCCCGACACATATGAGTAAATTTCCCTGACACATATGAGTAAAATTCCTTGACAATCCGTGTTGGGGCAACTACTTGCCAAGGCATTTAACAAAATGCCTGAGTTGACTTTTTGCCTTCGACATATCGATATCGACGGCTAGTTATTGAAAACAGTACTATAGACTTCATTTTAAGTTTTTGGAAGATGATTTTCGACACTATCATCCCTTACCAGGCCCGCCACAAGGGGGGGGAGGGGGGATACTGGGTCCTTGGTACCGGGGCCCGGGCCCTGGAGGGGCCCGTGACGCAGGTGACAAACCACTACGAATTCATGTGTAACCCTTGTCTCGTAGGGAAAAGTGAAAAAATTACCCTAAAAATTCCGCAAAAGGTGAATAAAGTTTCAGAAACACGCTAGGGCACTATACAGGGTTATCCAGAAGTCCGGGACCCCCCTTATAACTTTTGAACAAAAAATGCTAGAGATTTGAAATTTGGGGAATGTTCCTAGGTCAAAGGGAACTACTTTTTGGCGTACCCAAAATTTTGGGGGGCGCCCCCCCTGAGGGGGGCGCACCCTAACTTTTTTTTTTCAAATGGGAACCCCTATTTTGTGATACATCATTCGAAAGGGCTTAAAAAAAGAAAACTTTTGGCGCAAACCGATTGTCGATACCTCAATTTTTAACAAAATGGCGGCCAAAAAATGGCGGCTCATTCAAAAGTCTGGGCCTCCGCTCATAACTCATGAACAAAAAATGCTAGGGATTCGAAATTTGGGGAATATTCCTAGGTGAAAGGGAACTACTTTTTGGCGTACCCAAAATTTCGGGGAGCGCCCCCCTGAGGGAGGGGCGGACCCTAACCCTTTTTTTTCAAATAGGAACCCCTATCTTGTGATACATCATTCGAAAGGGCTTGAAAAAAGAAAACTTTTGGCGCAAACCGATTGTCGATACCTCAATTTTTAACAAAATGGCGGAAATGCGATTTTTGGTTATTTATCGTCGGATTCGCTTGAAACTTGGTTTCCACAGGTTTTCGAGCACGAAAAAAACAAATACGATATTGGATTTGCAAAATACCCGAGCTTTTCCAAGATGGCGGGCAAATAAGTTTAAATCGGAATGTGTCAGATTTCCTGTGCGTTGCTCTCAGCCAGCTGAAAATCGTGTTTCCTGATTTGTCATTTCAACTACCCAGGACTCACCACGGGGAGGTGGCTACGCGTTGTTTTTTTCGTGCCCGAAAACCTGTGGAAACCAAGTTTCAAGCGAATATGTCGATAAATAACCAAAAAACGCATTTCCGCCATTTTTTGGCCGCCATTTTGTTAAAAATTGAGGTATCGACAATCGGTTTGCGCCAAAAGTTTTCTTTTTTCAAGTCCTTTCGAATGATGTATCACAAGAAAGGGGTTACTATTTGAAAAAAAAGGGTTAGGGTCCGCCCCCCGTCAGGGGGGCCCCCCTTCGAAATTTTGGGTACGCCAAAAAGTAGTTCCCTTTCACCTAGGAATATTCCCCAAATTTCGAATCCCTAGCATTTTTTGTTCATAAGTTATGAGCGGAGGCCCAGACTTTTGAATGAGCCGCCATTTTTTGGCCGCCATTTTGTTAAAAATTGAGGTATCGACAATCGGTTTGCGCCAAAAGGTTTCTTTTTTTAAGCCCTTTCGAATGATGTATCACAAAATAGGGGTTCCCATTTGAAAAAAAAAGTTAGGGTGCGCCCCCCTCAGGGGGGGCGCCCCCCAAAATTTTGGGTACGCCAAAAAGTAGTTCCCTTTGACCTAGGAACATTCCCCAAATTTCAAATCTCTAGCATTTTTTGTTCAAAAGTTATAAGGGGGGTCCCGGACTTCTGGATAACCCTGTAAAATTTTTCTTACTTTTTAGAGATTTTCAAGATTTTGAGTATATGTAGAATGATATTTTTAGTAACTGTGTTTCATTTTCTTCCGTTGTCGGATGCTATAAGAGGCTCCTTTCTGGGCATCCTCGACTTCAATGGCTTAACTCCCTTGCCATAGACGTACGAAAGGGGAGTCCAGGGGGGCCCGGCTCCCCATAGAATTGAAAATTATCATCTGCCCCCTTAAAAAAAAATTTATAGATGTTCTGAATGCAACAATTCGAAAGTTTTTGGTGCTGAAAGTAAACAAAAAGGCGTAATTATTCTGCAGAAATTGATGGAAAATCTCCATCATAAGAGCTTCATAATGCGTCCAAATAGATTTAAAATTTCAAAAATTNCCCCCCGTGTTAGGGGCCCGGGCCAGAAAATTGGTACCAGGGCCCGAGATGGGATGTGGCGGGCCTGTCCCTTACTTCCGACTTTTAATCGACTTACTGAATTTTGATTTTTTTCACGATGTAGTTGTTGAATTTCTTCTGAAATATATCGATCGTGCCCAATAGGCATCACGCCAAAGGTGGAGATCCACCTTATCAGCACTGCTCTCGGTGAAATCTCACGCGAATGTATCTCGTTCATCCAAGACCCTTAATGGCTAGTCGGGATTCCCAACAAGTAATTGCCACTATTGTTTCTCCGATATTGTCTCCTCGGTTTCGATGGACAAAACCTCGAGAAACTTTTGTTGTGGCGTTTCACAATAATTTTGAGTAGACTCACAATCAGTTAGCTGCACTCTCGGTCTGGCCTTGCTGCCACTTCGCTCTAATTTCGACCTCTACTTAAAACTGTTAGCAGAGGATAGCGTGAGAGGGTTTGCATAGAAATAGGACTGAAAAGACAACTGCCCGAGGTCTTGGCGATATTTCTACATAAGCAGAAAAAATTGCTGGAGGTAGGTGAGAAATTGTTTCTGGGAGAACAACTTGGAAAAAAAACAAGGAGCAAAGAAACGAACATCACCAAGCAGTAATTTCAATCCATTCATGGGATCCAAGATTTTAAACATGAAAAATTGGAAGTTCACGTAAGATGATTTTTGGGGTATACCTTCACTGAAAAAAAAAAACACATTGGATCTAGAGTCCAGACTCTTAAAAACATCGACAAGAAAAAATACTCTTGATTCAATAAGATTTAGGCTTAAATCAAGAACCAAGCCTCTTAATTTGAGCGGATTTCCTTTTGATTTAAGCTTAAATCTGATTGAATCAAGAGTCCTTTTTCTTGTCAATGTTTTCAAGAGTCGGGTCAAGAGATCCAATGTGTTTTTTTTCCAGTGTACGTTTTTAGGGAGGATGGCGGGAGAAACAGGGAGGGGCACAAAAATAGGATATAAAACTTTCGATAGGAAAAACCATTCGCCGTGTACGTATAAAGTTCCGGACGGAATTAGCTTGATACATTTTAATTTTTCCGATCCACGAAAAAAAAAAAATTTAAAAAAAACGTCGAGACATGATAAAAGCTCTTTTTCCCTGCGTGACAACACTGTCTCGTCCTTGTGTGATAAACACGTTAATGAGCCCACTTAAGAACGCGCGTTCGTTTGTTCTCGTGGTAACAAACAGTTGAGAAAGTGTTCGCCTTTCTTCTGTACCTACTCAGCTTCGAGACGTCAGACCTAGAATGAAGTGATCCAGTGAGTACTGTATCTTCACTTCAACTCAACTAGAAGTACGATGCGAAAAATAAGAAAATACAGGTTTTAACGGGCAGCATAGCGAGCCTAACATCGAAGAGTTCATATAGGTATGTTCTCTCTTACGGTATATCTCGTGGCTGAGTGCCTTTCGAATAGTATACATGTGCGTTTTATGTCGAATTAATATGCACTGAGGTTCGGACTACTGCAAGACTACCCTTTTTTGTCAACGCTCGAGCCCCAGTATTAGACAAGTCTACCTTTTCCATCTTTTAACAAAGATACTGAGACTGCTATATTCCCTAAATAGATTGAAAGGGCAGATTAACTTGTTTCTGATATCAGAAAAAGATTTTAAACAAGTTTTTGGCCAAAGAGCGTCATTTTTCAACTTTAGACCTGTTAGTCTCGGAATTTTAAAAAATAAGAAAAAAGTACCAGTTTATAATTTTTATGCTCTAGGCTTTTGTATCATGAAACGAGTGAGAGAGAAATCCCATTACTCTTGCACACAACCGTAAATTTTTCACGAAAACTCGAGGATTCCACGAAGGACTTGTAACTCTCACAGTGGCGTGGCGTGAATCGTCGATATTCGATGCTCCCCATTTGAAGCTATGGTAAAGAACCGATTAACAAGGTGTTCGTTGCGAACACCCTGTTTATCGATCCTTTTCAATGGGTTTAAATGGCAGATCAATCGATATATCGCACAGCACGCCACGCCACTGATCTCTCACAAGGATGGATATACCTTTGACGAGGGTAATCGCTATGATTGATCGTTGTCGAATTGTAAGATAATTCTTTTCCTCGTCGGATATGGCAACCGCGCTTTCATTCATTAGTCTTCTGCGCGAAAACACACGTCAGACACGAATAAGACGAGCCCAAACGTCAGGATTCGAGTGCCACGTTGCCACGAATAACCCAACTCAAGCAAAGCTGACGGATTTGCACTGGTCACGGAAAAATGTCCACCCTGGACGAAAACTCGGGCTGTGGAGGCCGTGCTTACGGACTACTTGAACGTACCGTCCGCGTTACGGGCTCAAAGGCCGAAAGTTCTGGGTGTAGCATCCGGGGTGGACGAAGCTACGACTCCAGCACCCGGAGCTATCGACGTTTCAGCCCGGAACGGACGGTATTTCTGTACAGCCCGTAACTTTTTTTCTCAGTTCATAGAAAATATATCTCCAATGGTCCATGGCTGGACTTATCCCCACTTATATCACCATTTCACAACGAACATGGAAGTTTCAGAGGTTGATTCGCAGGGCTGCTACAAAATTTAGAAAATGAAATCCC